TTTTTTGCATGCCTTGCACAACTATATAACCTGATTCTATTAATATCTGGCAAGGAAGGTTCTTCCCTGCTTTAAACACACAGATATAAAAAAGCACAGAGTTGAAAGCAGCTTAAATAAAATGGGTTTGGTGCTGCTTAATACAGCAATCATCCACTGGACTATATTGGATAAATATCTACTTCAGAAGAGAGAGTAAAAAGTAGAACCACCTAGATCTAAAAATATGGGAACATGATAAAGTTCTGTCCTAGTCCACTGTCAAGGGAATTCTTAGTGTGTTGAGTGTAGAAGAATTTTTTTTACATCTATTTTCAGTTGAAATTTGTTTTTATTTTAGTTTTTCAACTAAAAAGAGTGCTTGATCCAACATAGGTCCTTAAATAGCGACATAGTACCAGAAACAGAAGAACTGCTCATCTAGGAGACTGCATGGTGGCTGCCAGCTGCAGGGAGCATCTTTCTTCCTGTGCCTCATTTTTTCCCCTCTGGAGGACTGGTACTGACCAGTGTCTGAAGATATGACCATCAGCAGATGAGAAGTTCTGTCTGGAAGCTAAGGCTTATTCTAACACACAGTGAGTCATGAGATATGTTGTTGGGGCAAGTCATGTGGGAAACCACATGTGTTAGGGCAGTTGTGTGGAAAGCTATTTCTTGCTGACATGTAAAGGACAGAAATTCTCACTTGTCATTTCATGACAGCTTAACCTGAGTAACTTGAACCAACATGAATTTCCTCAAAGAAAAAATTCTTATTCTTTTTTCATAGGATTTATTCTTATTCTTATTTTCTCATAGGGTCCAGGAGGGCAAAGCATGAGAAATAAAGCTAAGCGACTTGTTCACTTTCTCTGGTATTTATAGAGGAACATGAAACAGGAGAGTGTGCAATTTTATACTTATATCCCCTTTTAGCCTGCATTTGAACCAACTATCTTTACTGCAGGAAACTGAGGATGACGACACAGTTAGATGACAGGCAATATGTCGTACCATGGACAACAGAACCCTGATTTGCTAAATCATTTTTGCTTCAACACTTCAGCTATGCAGACAAGCATCAGTCTCCAACTCACTAACCCCCAGCATGACATAGTTTTAAAATCAGAGTAGACAGGTGGAATCATGTCTCCCTCCTGCAAAAGTAGTAAACCTTTTCATTTACTCATGCTGTGCTGACAGAGCTCCTTTAGTCTGGGGTATCTTGCTTTTCAAGAGTTTATTTAAACTGAGAGATGAGAAGCAGCAGCAATAACTCCATTTTAAAGCTTTTTCAGTTCTTGAGTGCATTTGCACATCCATTCCTGAGCTGGGCAATGAAAACTCTACATTTTGCCCATCTGATTTGTGTTTCTCAGTTCCACCTATGTTTCTTCTCTCCAAATAGCTTTGTTATTCATGGTTGATCACTAGCCATTTCTTAGCCTAACCCATCTGAATAGCAGAATATGACTCCACTGACATAGGGGTTTTTACATTCCACCTTCTGTTTAGGCAGCAAACTACTTTTGAAGGTTATAGAGCAATACTTAAGTCATACCCACAAAATACAATCCCTTATCTTAAGAGCAAGCTGACTGAACCCATGAGGACTCAAACATACAACAATTTCAAAAAGCTTCTGCACCACAAGCAATGCTTTGTGTCTGAAGTTTCTCCTGATTTGTAACTCCTCTTACATGGAAGATGGAAACACACGCAGCGGGTCTACAATTACATGATAAGAACCACCCATGTGACAACTGTACTTTCAGTCAGAATAATGAATGCAATCATGAAGCAATTAGTGCAGGCGGCAGATGGTTTGCTGCTCTTTTTTTCCTCAAGACTGGCAGGAAAAAGTTATGACTGAATAAGGGACTGGCCTGTCAGCATTGGCAATTCTAGTCTGCTATCCAAAGCAGAGACACAGGGGAGATATATATGAACAAAAACAAACAAATCACTGAGGCTTAATGAGTTATTGCTCATCAGCTGAACCCCAGTAATTAAGTGCATTCACCCACCCACAACACCCAAGAAACTGGGAGATCAAACTACTTCAGCTAACGCAGATTTCTCTACCATTTAGTAATTCTCTATTCAACCAAACAGAAAATATCTGCAGTGCTTATCATAGCGATAGGCCCAGTGACCTGTGAAGAGATTGAGGGATGATGTGTTGTGACCCATTTCGCATGTTCATCACAACTGAGGAAGGGCAGGCATGCGCTAGCTTTAGAAATGCTAGCTGAAGCCATCTGCCCAACGCGATCGGATGGCTTTGCCCGCAGCAGCCCTGAACTGGATGGGCCACCTCTGGGAGTCAAATGCTTTGGTCCCAATGTGAAACCTATCTCTCTCCATTCACCACCTGACTTCCCTGGTCCCATCTGCAGCAACAGCAAGATGCAAACGGATGGCAGCTACAATGAGGCTTGCTAACCATCAAGCCGCAGAGCTGGAAGGAATACAAACACATTTTCTTGCCCATTTCCAGCTCCCTCTGACTGTCAACAGCAGATGTAAATGATGACAACAGTCTAAACGGGTCAGAATCTAACCTTCTCCTTAAGGCCCCCAGCAATGAAATCTTCACAGCCTCTCCAAGCCAAGTTTCCTCTGCCAGGTACATCCTTTACTATGTTTCCCTTGATTCCTCAGGTGACTCGTGGTCAGCATGCACAAAATATAGAGAATCCAATGAATAGTGGCTTCTTATTCCTTAAATACAGGCTAAGCAAGAGATCACAATGCAGCAAAGGGTAGTCATTTGTTCCAAACTGGCCATTAAAATTATCTAAACACCTTCAGGACCACATAATTACTCTAACCAAATTCTGCCTTTGGATATAGAAGAATTAAACCAGTGGGAGCCATTTGTACTTAGCCATAGGCAGAACTGAGCCCTTAGTTTGAGCAACATTTAATTTAATCCAAGTTGATTAATACTCCTTGCTTCTTTATTACCCTCTATAGTTCTTGTCCAAAACTTGCTGAAATCAGATAATGTCTCCAATTACACTTTAAAGCAGAAATCAGGTCCAGTGACAAAACACTTCTTAAGTTCTATTTTGGAGTCATTTAATCGGTACAGAAGTGATGCACAGACCTCATGCTACCTGAATTCTCTTTTTTGCAACTATAGTATTTTGTTACCAACATTATTCAATTTGCTATTCACTGGCAGAGCAAAGAAATTTCATCTGCACCCTAAGTTTCATCTGTCTCACCCTAAATAACTATACCTATCCCATAAATTCAGGTTAACCGAAGAAAAAGCCCTTCATTCTCATATCTGGACCACTTTTTTGGCTTTTATAAAACAAAAGGGTGGCAGTTTCCTATAGAATGGATACAACGTATGTACTGTCAACCAACTACCATAAATTAAATGAGCATTATAGCTGTATGGGCTCTAATCAGAATTATTTCCTGAACAGATTGATTGCCACACACAGAGTCCTTTTCTAATACATCCTACTTCTATTTGATAAATTTGCCACTGCAATTTTCACTGACCCCCACCCAATAAATCTCATGTTGCCAGTACAAAATATTTTTCCTTCCAAAGGGTCCCAGAAGGCAGGATTTCATGTGTGCCCTCCTCTGGAACAGATTTTACCTGTATATTCCACAAAGCAACACGGAGTGAAAAATACTGTACATACAAAATACTGTATGGAATTTAGGCAGCCAAGATGCATTTCCCAAGGTTGAGTTTTGCAAGGACATTATGCAACAAGACTGGAAAGATAATGAGCTTAAAGCACAGGACTGAACTTTTATAGCAAACATTCCTATAATTTTAGCTACTTATTTAGCTTTCTTATGCTGTTATTTTCTCAGGCTTGCAGTAATAGTACCTGTAACCCTAATTTAAGTAAAAGGAAAATTAATTCATTCTTTCATGTTTATAAAATACACTAGAACACACAGCTGGTTGACATCATAAAATTCAAGCTTTTATGTTGATATTTACACTATCATATAAACCGAACAGTTCAGTCAATACTCATTTTGATTAGATTCAAATTCTCATAATTCATCATGTGCAAAAAAAGAAAAAACAAAAACAACAAAAAAAACACGCCACTTAATTGTTTTGTTTAACAGCTTAGATATTACAAGCCAAGACATTTCACTCTGTTACCACAGTTGGGAAATCAGAAAAATTTTCTGGTCTGTTTTTCAGTTTTATTCAAAACATCAAAATGTCATTATGAGCAACCCACCATTTCTCATAGCAGTTTGTTCCAATGGTTAATCACTTCACTGCTGATTTTATCTACATCAACTTCTAGCCATCGATTCTTGTTATGAGCTTCTTTACTAGGTCAAGATGCTTTCTCATATCCGGTGTCTTCCCCCATAGGGAAGCACAGCAGCTTTCCTTCAATCTGCTTTTTGTTAAACAACTTGAAAAAGGTGACTGACTTGCGAGTATTGATGTGTCTGATTTTCTGTAAGTGCTGACAATGAGTTCTCTTGCAATAACGTCCCACTCTGCTATCTCATGTTATGCAGCAAAAAAAATCAAGGCAAATCTCACAGCATATTTATTCAGCTGATGGATGATCCATATTGAAGGAACTGGACTTCAAAGAAAATTGATTCACCGTTACTTTTCTCTTGGAAAGTAACAGCTACTTCAAAATACGCCAGCCAAACAGCAGCAAAAAGTACTGCTATTCTTGTGGCTGGTCCCACAGTAGAGTGACATGACTGTTAAGTAAGAGGACAAAAAGCCTCACTGAGTATTGTTATTCCTATCATGAAAGATCTTAGCTTTCCTCTCTGCCCAATGCCTGCCACATGACGCTAAAAAAAAAACAGATAAAAGCAGGATGCCAGATCAGGCATAGAGGACTAGGACTCATAAACACTCTAGGTGTCCAGGTCCTGTATTTCTCTCCAAACACCAGCTTTATTACCCTGAATGTTCTGCAGCAATTAAGCAGATAAACAGGGAGTCTCCAGGTTGTTGGCAAACGGGCCAAAACTCTGCTAACTCTTACCTTCTGATCTTGACTATATGCTAAGATCCAGTCTTCCTGCTTCGGGTGGAAGAGCAGGCTATGGATGTAGAAGTTCAGCCGGTATTTTTGATAGGTGGCTCCTTCATCAGAACTAATCAATAAGCTGCTCTCAACCTCTGGATCAGTCAGCAGCATAATCTATATGTAAGCAAAAGGCAAAAATACAGTGGTCAAGAGGAGTTGGATGGAAAAATAAGGAACTTCAGATAAACCTGATAAGTGTGTTCATTTCAATAAGCTTCAACACAGTATCAAAGCTAAGGATAACCAACATTTCTGTAAAGAAAATGGTGTATTTTAATCATTTACATACATACAGAATGCACAATCAAATAGACAACATTACTTCTATATTAGAACAGAAATAAGCCTATGCTTTGATTAGCACAAAAGTAAAGCCTGAGGCTTGTTAACACTAATGTGCAAACCTGTTAAGGTTACCAAACAGTTACAGCAGGCTGCTAGGTTCTTCATGAGTGAATTACTGGAGAGACAAAGGAAAAGTTAGGCTTTAAGAAAAGAGAGAGAGAGAGAGGGAGGGAGAGAAGGACAGAAGAACACAAAATGATGTCTAATGGTGAGGTTTGTTACACTGGCAGAATTTTCAGGGAAGATGATAGCTTCCATTGCTTGAAATGTTATAATCTGGCTGACTGTAAAAAGCAATCTTGCTTTGGCAGCAGAGCACATTTGATAACATGCTGGGTTCTTTCCCTCTCCAATTTCTATGGTACTGTGAATTATAGATTCAGCCATCTACCAGCAGTAGTCTCCACAGAGCAAAGCTGCTTTCTAGCTATGTCCGAAAGTCTTAGTTCACCTTAATTATGGTATTAATTGGTCTGTGTTGCTAGTGTGTCAGAATAGTGAGAAAACTCTCTCATGTGTCGCTGCCCAGGAGAAAATATAATGGTTTGCGCTTCGGTCTTTCAGCAAGCAGCAAAGCAGTACCACTAAGGAAGGGGGATGGGATATCATAAATGAAAAGCATGGAAAGTTCTGAAGAACATTTGCACAGAAAGGTATTAAAATCTTGAATCATTAGCATCATTCTTTAAAGAACTGATGATGCTGTCACTTTCTAAATGGCAAACACTGATTTGCTTTTAGACAAGTCTGAAGTGAAAGGACCCACAGCTGGCATTTCTCAGAGTGAATTCCTATCTAGGCTTGGGTATCGCAAATATTACACACTTTATTCTTTGCTTCCCAACTTTCATTTATGCAGAGTTAGATATAACTTAACTCATTACCTATGAATTATATGGCACCATAAAGTTTTGATAGACTTTGATGATAAAGAACTGCTAAACTGATAGAATGTGAATGGGTAAATGCACAAATAATCTACATAGAAAATGTCCTTCATTATTTGATAACTGTCTGAGGCTATCTCCAGAAAACTTTTTTCTCACATTAAAACGTGGCCTATGCCTTGGAAGGTTTGGTTTCTCTAGGTTTTCTGAGGGATCTTAGACTAGTTATATTGCCACTCTGCCTCTTATGTAAAATAGCATAATGCTCCTGTTGTAACTTAAAGGTACAATCTCCTTTTGCTATCATTTAACACTTTCAAATACATTAAGCTTATCATCGATGTAACTTCTAAATGATGACTGCTGGATAGAGGATACACAGCGAGCCTTAGTATTCAAAACATTAATATATAGACCCTCTGCTGTCACAAGGTAGCCTATATATCCTCTCAAACCAAAAATTTTTTATGGTCTTTAATAGTCAGCACTCAGCACTTTTTTTTTTTTTTTTTAAACCAGAGTTATTTCTGAGAGAACATTCCTATGGTGAATACTTATCAACTCAATATTATTAATTCAGACATTATAATTTTCCTATTATTATGACTTCCTTTTTGAATAGATTTTGTTTATGTTGGTATTTGAAAATATCCCAGCCCAGCATTAATTCAGACTACAACAACTAGAGCAGAAATAAACGCAAATCAATGGGCTTGATCGCAGCTCCCTGAAGTTAGTAACAATATCTTCAGTGACGTTGATTTGTGCCTCTAAGGCAAGTTGTTAATCAAGGTTCATTCTAGTTTCACAGACCTCCTCCTACCTGCACAAAGTACTCATCTGACCTCATCACTGTCACTTCCAAGCATATCACGGCCTTAGCACATCATCTGTCAGGCCACTCCTGCATGGTGTGAAAGTTATCTCCTCCTATCTCCATTTCAAAAAAAGAGGAAGAAGGGAAAGGGAGAAACCAAAGCATCTAATTCTTGATTCAGCCAATACAAGTTAAGTGCCCAGGCAGACCTGTCAGCTCTACTGATCTTGGCTTTAGTCTGCTAACTACTACCCCAGCTATTCCTAGCATATTTTCGGGTAATATGTGGTCTCCGGAATTCTCTGCTCTTGCAAGCACAGATGCAGTGTTTCTGACATGCCAGGACACACCAGCTTACTACGTATGCTGACAGCAGTAGTGTTTTAGATGTGCCCGAGTTACTCAAATCTTCAGTAGCTTTAAACAAGTCCGAAGCAAGGGAAGAAGCTGACCTCTCAGCTCTGTGGCCATCAGAGGTTAGCCGTGAGACCAACTTCCAGTACTGGTGCAGCAATTTCTGCTGCATCGTTGTACCTACATTGCCAATCACTTTGCAACGATCTCACAAAATAAGCACGCTAAGATTGACTAAGCAGTTATTATTCCCACCACTGCCAAAGCCCCATGTTGCACACAAGGTAAGTTAAAAACATGCTTAATTGCATATTGGCACATAAATAAAGTTACATAGCCAAAAGATAGAAGTTATAGAATAAAAATGAGGAATTGACAGATGAATGGAAAATCAGTCAAAATTAAGGGAAAAACTGGGTCTGTGTATGTGAACCTTTTAGTTTTTCTACATATTATCCAAATTGTGTGGAGTATGAGTGACAAGTGTGGGAAAAAATCAACAAATTTTAATATTTTCTTGTTGAAATGTATGAACTATGTGGTAATCAAATTTTAGGATTTCCTTCAAAATAAATGAAGTCATCTTCAAAGGCCTTTCAAAGGAAAACAATAGGATGCTTCCCAGTAGCCTATTACCCCTTAACTTGACATCATTGCTTACATGGAAAATAGAAGTAGATTCAAACATGTTGATCAGGATAGCATGAAAATAAAACCAACTGCAAGAACAAAATCAATCTGAGTCTAGAAGACATAAACTATAATGTCTACAGAATACAAGAATATCTTGGAGAGCAGATCAGGAACAAACTAGTTATATAACACGCCACTTCACTGTAGAAAGGATGCTAGATTACCTTAAATGGGAACTATTTGAATAATGACTTACCTTTTTGCTCTATTTCTACAAGTCCTAACAATGTATCACTGCTGCATTAGTTTAGGGACAAAAACATTTTGGAAGGAATCAATGTGGCTTCTGCACAAGAAAATCGGTCTTCAAATTTAAGTTCTTAGAGAGTATCACAGAGCAAGCAGGCAAAGATGACCTGGTTGACGAAGTCTACCAGGATTTTTGAGAAGCTCCTTTGTCAGAGTCTTTTAAAGACCAAAGCCTGTCACAGAATAAGAAAATCTTGCCATGGAATAATCAATGGCTAGAAGATAAGAACTGAATGGTACAAAGAAAAAAAGCCATTAATTTCTACAATAGAGAGAAGTGTTCAGCTAGAATCTATCTTGTTTTGTGCTGTACAACATGGCTCATTAATGATTTGGAAAGAAGGACGGAAGCAAAGGTGATGAAGTTTGCCAATGGCAATAAGATATTAAGACAAATGAAAACAAAAGCCAGCTTATGAAGAGCTACAGAGGCATTTTGCAATACCAAGTACCTGAGCAGTAAAATGTCAGGTGAAATTCATTGACGAATTATGGGAGAAAAAAAAGATTAAAAAAAGCACAGATAAAGGAAGGTAATGCCCATCTAACAGACTGAACAGGGTGCTCTCAGTAGCTATTTTCTTTTAGGAAAGGGAACTAGGAGTTTCAGTGGAAATCTCAATGAAGACAATAGTTTGGTCCTTAACTCCTAATACAAGGAGGGAATAACAGTAGAAAATATTAGGAAAGAGTTAAAGAGCAAAAAGATAAGCTTATCAGGCCTCTGATCACTGTTCTCACAATTTAAACACTAGAAGCCTTTTCCATCTTCCATTAAAAAAAAAAGGACTATCATAGGAAAAGTACACAGAAGTACAGTAAGAACAATCACAGAAAAGCATGAAGCAGCTGTAAACAAAGTATTCAACTTCAAAGGAAAGAAATCAGAAGCAGTTCGACTAAGGTCTGAAACCATGAACATCTCAAAAATGTTTAGAGAGCAATTGTTCACTTTCTGAAATAACATAAAACTCATTAGAATAAAATGAAATTATCAAGACAGATGCAAAAAACAGGTACACTCAGCATTTTCCACCCAGTTAAAACACTGAAACCCTTACCATAGTATAGTCTAGCATAGTATATAATATATGCTAAACATTTACATTAACAAGAAAAATGAACAAACACATTCTTGGAGAGAAAAAAAATCCATCAATTCAAAAATATCAAACTTGGCTCTGGAATCTGAGCCACAGCTTGCTGAATTCTCAGGAAAAATATACAGGGAAGTAGCATACTATATTTGCCATGACCTGGCACTTCCTTCTCAACAGAGAGGAAAGTGGAAGTGGTTAACACCGAGCCCGATTTAGCATGGCTGTGCTTATATACATCATTGAAGAGTGAATGAAGGTGATAAATGATAGCAATGCTATCAGCCCTGGGGAGCTGCTACAGCAACTTCTGGGTGAAAAAATTGGCCTAACATTTTTATCTTGACAGTTTTTTTTTTTTTTTTTTTTAAAACTACCTCTGATTCCACTGTTAGAAAATAAAGCCAATAAGACATAACTAACAAGAGGCATCCTCTTTGCCTCTCATTTCTAGCAAAAGCCTTTATTAAAAGGAGACCCACCTTAGAGTACCTCTGTTCTGCTTTATTATTGTCTTACATTCAACAAAATGAAAAGTTGGGATAAGTTAAGACTGCACTTCTCCTTGGCAAAAGTAATTGCTCTCTTTCAGTTCAATGCTCAGCAATGATCAGAATCTGCTTACTTGCACCAGGCGCAGCAAGCACACGCTGCACTTCCTGATGCCTCAG